ATTCAATTATTATTATTTTTCTTGCTTAAATATACTTTCTGTCTTTCATAATATTGTAAATTTTTTTTTGTTTTTAAAATGTTTTATTAAATATATTTAAGTGATAAAAACACAGAATTGTACACATTTATGGGATGCTATGTTATGCTTCAGTACGTCTCTTTCTTTATTATTGGCCCTCCCTGACCCCAGCCTTCCTACATGACATTGACATTGTCATCCGCAATTGCTGTGCAAGAAAACCCTGCACCAAAGGTGGTCCAAGCAGCCCTCAATAGGGAGAGAGCTGGAGTGTGTTCAGAGGCCATCCATGGCTGAGCCCTTCAATGCTAGCCCTGAGCAGACAGGCAGGCGGTAGCTGTGGGTCTCCCGGCCAGACCAGAAAGCCCTGGTTGTAGGTTATAAAGTGCTTCCCACTTTGTGGCTGTCATCTGTTTCCTGGGGTGAAATGCTGCCAGCTTTATTGGAAGAATCCAATAATGACAGCAACAGTGGTCTTCAAAACGTAGCATGGTAAAATCATATTAGATAGAACTGAAGCAGCACAACTTAGGGCCATAGAGCCTGGGCTGCTTGGTTTGACTTGGCTGTCCTCAGCTCAGCAGTTCTATCCTCTTTAAATGACTGTATGCAAAGGTGTGGAGTTCAGAGATCTGCAGCTGAATCCTGCCCAGCCTCAGCTCAGGGCCTGGCACAGACAAGGAGAGGGGGAACACATTGACCCTGGGAAGATGGGAGCCGAGTGGAACAGGGAGCAAGCAGAACCCTGTCAGGATACAGGTGCCTGAACTGAGATTGGGTCTGGATAAAGCCATTTTAAGTTGCAAATATTATTAGTCAACCTTACGTTGACTAATAATATTTGCATCCTTATGTAATAACACAGCTTGCTCTCAGTGTCAATGGTTTCCCCTGGTGAGCCTGTGGTTGCTCTGCCCAGCATTGCAAGAGAGTGTCGTGTGTCATATCATTAAATGAGGGAAAAGATCGAGATCAAAGAACCTCAAAATCATAAGTTGAGCTGTCATGCATCAGTGACCATCTGTACGGTCTTGGAGGAATATTTAGAAGATTCAGAGTCTTTCTGAGCAAAACCAAAAAAAACCCAAAATCCTTATCTGAAACAAAAATGGTACAATTTTTGTCCTGTTTGTCCTGTTTGAGTAGACCCTCCTTCCTGGCCTCTTTAGAGAGGCTACAGCATGGGGGTGGTGAAGGCTGTTGGCAGAGCTTACATTTCCCCACTGTTCCCCATAAGCCCCCAGGAACCTATGTTGTGGTCTCCAGAGAGTGCTTCACAGTGTAGAGAAGAGTTCTGCCCTGTGGGGGTGTGACACCTCTGGGTGTGAAGGAAGGACCCACAGCGCTCTCTGTACACCTTGTCTCAAGCCAATATGAGAGTTATTTTTACCTTCACAAAGACCCTGAGTTGAGGACAGCCTTGCTTATCCACATCCATGGTGGCTGCAGCTGGGTGAGGTCACAGGGCACACTGAATACACCAAGTGTTCATCTGCCTCGGTAAACCGAGAGAAGTCTTGGCCAGTTGTGCAAACGACGAGTTCACAGGCTGAAGCGAAGGAAGTCTTTGGTCTTGGGCTGCACTGAACAGTGTCATTATGATTTCACTGTCAGCAAGCACAGGACATTAAACATGAGGGTGAGGAGGGTTGTGTTGTTCCACGTCCCAGGACAAACCTCTCTGGAAGATCCTGTGGGGAATGAGATATGGGGTAGTGTCATGGTTGTGGAGCTGAGCACTGTGGAAGAACAGTGAGGCTTCTGTGGTCTGAATGCTGTCCCCTTCCCTTAAAATTCCCATAGAAATCTAACCCTGAGTGTGATGGTGTCAGGAGGCAGGGACTTTGGGATGGGATTGGGTCATGGGGGCTGAATCCTTACCAGTGAAATTAATGCTTTCATAGAGGAGACTGTGGAGAGCCGTGGTGCCCTTTCCACTATACGAAGATTCAAGAGAAGTTGCGGTTTGTAGACCATGAGCACTCACGAGACACCAAATCTGCCAGCTTTGGTCTCTAACTTCTCAGCCTTCAGAACGGTGAGGAATGAATCTCTGTTGTTTGTAAGTCATCTAGTCTATGACATTTTGTTACAGCAGCTTGAATGAGCTAAGATGGTGGCATTTAGAGTCATAGATTCGGGGTCATGCTCCTTGAAGTGAGATTTGGCTATGATTTACTTTGGCTAATGAAGTGTGATTAAAGTAATGCTGTCTATTCTGGAGGAGACCCTCAAGCCCAAAGCCTGTACCTCTCCTTCTCCTATTCAAAACCAGTGACATTCTTGGCTGCATAGGGAGCTCAGTCACCTAACATTCTTGAGTGAGGGCCACAGAGAGCAGAGCCCTGCTGATCCAAGACAGGCATACAACATGTGAAAGAGATAACGTGCTGGGTGCAGACACAGAATCCTGGATGAATCTGCTACCCCAGCCTACCCACCTCTATCTATGGATACAGTTAAAGGCCAGCCTTAGAGGGCCTCTTCTGCATTCCCTAAAGTCCACAATTTATACATGCTCAGTAGAGTCTTATAAACTGGACAGTTAGAATCATATCCCATTTTACAGACAAAGAGAGTCATCCCAATGGATGAATCCACATTGCTGACTTGGGAACTGATGCCTTAACTACTCACCACCTCCTGTGGAGCCTGGCATGTTACAGGCCAGCACAGCCTGGGCTATGTGAACAGGGGTAGACCCTGACCTCTTTCTGCCTCAGCAGTGCCTTTTGTCTCTGAGGGTGAGGAGGCATTTCCTATGAGAAGGAACAGGGGAAGGCAGAAGTCTCAGGAAGCACACACCTCTACTTAAAATTTATCTCTGTGTGTGTGTGTGTGTGTGTGTGTGTGCACAAGCACACATGTGTGCTACAGCATGCATGTGGAAGTCAGAGGACAGCTTTCAGGAGTTGGTTCTCTCCTTCAACCACATGTGTTCTTGGGACTGAATTCAGGTTATTAGGCTTAGAGACTTAACCTACTGAGCCATCTTGCCAGTCCCACATACCCCAACCTTAATCCACAGGAGGCCAGTTATAAGGTCATGCTATACCCACCACTCGGCCCATCTATCCCTGAAATCCCCCTTAAAAAGTCACCATAAAAGAAAAATCTAACATCAAGAACAAAATCTGAGAAATGGGATAATGGGCCACTTCCCAGTTGTGAATGCGCTGCTATGGGTCAAGTGCCTGCCAGGTGGTATAAGTGACAGTCTTAGTTCAGGCTGCCACAAGTACTAGATTGGGCAGTAAACAGATTTTTTTTCTCTCTTAATTCTTGTAAGTCTGAGGCAGAGGGCTTCTTCTGTATGGTGGACTGCCCTGCCTTGTCTCGGGACAGAAAGAGAGCCAAAGAGCTTAATGCCACTCATTAGTCCTGGTGACCTCCCATGGGCCCCACCTCCTCATCCATCACCCTGAGGGTTAGAATTTTAACCTATGAATTTTGGGGAATACAGGCACAGTGACATAAGGTGACAACTACAGCTCAGGGCGGTATGAGGAGGCCATGTGGTCCTCCTAACAGGGCAGGGCTGCTTGGCTGAGCAGGTGGGAAGATGGAGCAATTGCTTGATTATTCCATTTGGAATTGGGACAAATTGGGAAATGTGGATTTTTTAAAAAAAAAACAAAAAACAGGGTTTCCTTGTAGCCCCAGTTGGCATGGGACTCATTGCACAGATCAGGTTGGCGTTGATGTTTCACAGAGATCCACCTGCCTCTACCTCCCGAGTACTGAGATTAAAGGCATATGCCACTACATCCCACTGATTAGATTATTTTTTACTGTGAAAGGTCAGCTCTTAAATTTTAAACTTTTCATAAATAATTTAAATTTTAAACCAATATTTGCAGGGCCTGGAAGGATAACTCAGTTGATGAAGGGTTTACATGGAAAGCATGAGACCTTTGTATGTTCATGAGTCGCATACAAAGGCCAGGCATGCTTGTGAACTCAGTGCTGGGGAGACAGAAACAGGAGGATTCCCTGGGGCTCCCTGGCCAAGTCGATAAACAATGGAGAGTATTCCTGAAGATGACACCTGAGCTTGTCCCCCCTGGCCAAGTCGATAAACAATGGAGAGTATTCCTGAAGATGACACCTGAGGTTGTCCCCTGGCCTCTACATACACTGGCGTGCACACACACACACACACACACACACACACCTATATGTGCTGAACGAAACACATCTCTAGACTGAAAGTGGCTCCCCTAGGCCTCTAGTCTGTGAGCTCCGGAAAGATCTAGAATGATTTTGCTGCCAGAAGGACTGTTGCTGGAAACGTTGTGGTCCATAGCCTTGGATGGAGCGTGGTGCCTTTGGACCCAGCATTTCAGAACCACCTCCATTTATAAGACAGCCTGCATCTCACAGCTAGGGACTGCCTCAATAACTCTCCCTTTAACAAAAAGTGGTGTGAAGATGAAACACTGCAGAAAGATGCTTGGGTGGACAGTGGGGAGGTAGCTCCCTAGGGTGGAACAGTGGGGGAAGGAAGGGGAAGGTGGAGGTGGGTGACCTGAAGACCAACTCACCCTAATTCACGTTTTCCATTCATCTTACCTAATGCTGGTCTCCAACGTACCAGTAGTTCCAAATTCCCAACAGTACCTGGGAAAGATTATAAAGCCTCAAGGGAGGGACCAGTTGGACCAGGGAGCAGTTAGAACCCCTGGAATTCAGCTCTCTTAAAGGCATTCAAAATTTCTACCTATGGCTCTTTGTATAAAAGGGTAGCTGTCTCTTCTGCAGTTAGACTCTTCATAGCTGTGATAAAATAACCCAACTTAAACATGGGAGGGAGAACTGATTCTGGCGCATGGCTTCAGAGATTTCAGTCCGTTGATCCTCAACTCTGCTGATTCTGAGCCCGCAGTGAGGTAGAACATACTGCCGAGAACACAGCAGAGGCTGCTCCCTCCGTGCAGACAGGAAGTGATAATGCTGTCCTATTACCATAACACCCTCCCACACCTGAGTCTTAACTTCCCCTTAATTTGGGGAAGGTTCTTGGAGAAGCCAAGCACACAGCATGGTGAACATACGGATTTCAGCCACTGGTCCAGGAAGCCTGGCCACAACCTCTGGCAACTGGTCCCAAAGTGCTAGGAGTTGGTACAAAATACACAGATTCCCCAGGTTTTGTCTCCACTTCTAACTTGGGAACAACACCAGAAATGCACCCTCTCCAGTCACACAAGGTTCTGGCTTCTAGTTAGCTGCCTTCAGCTCTCCCTGCCAACAAGCCTCCACTCAGGGCACCCCCAAGCTGTCCTGTTTCCACCATCAGCTTTCCTGTTACCCTTCCTGCCTTTGAGTTCTGCCAAACTCTAGGGACCGTGGCCAATTCCCTTTCTGCTGCAAATTGAAGTGAATACCCCTTGCCTCTCTTTTTTTTCATTTGTTTACTTCCAGAGCTCTCATGCGTTCACACACAATTTGGTAGGGAGCTCCAGGCAGACAGCATTGGCGAACGTGGTTGACTGAAAGTCGACCCTGCTCCACACATGAATGCTCCAGAACAGACTTGGTGAAGGAAGGATTCCCAAGTGATTGCTGCACCCCACTTTGTCCCAGAAGAAAGGCAAAGAGACCCAAGACATGTCTGAAACCATTATGTTTTGACCAGAAATCTCATTAGCTCAAAGACAATGGGCAATTGTCTGGTGGTAGACAAAGGAAAGTGCTGGAAACTTGCACAAGATGCAGCTGAGCTACCTGAGTGGCCTGGGCACAGATTTCTGCGGGCTGATGCCCAGGAGAGGAGGGGACAGAGCCAACAGCCATTGGTGGGCGGCAGTGGTCACTGGGCACCAAGTTGCCAAATCATGCCTTTGCCAGAGAGCAACAGATGTTTGCAGCAGGCTTGAGTCCCGTCTTCCAAACCTGGGTGATGATTCCTCCCTTCTTAGTCACTGGAACACTTACACTCAGCTAAGAGATCTGCTTTGAGAAAGGAACAGACATACATTTCTAGTTTAAGAACAAAGCGTTGTCACAGGCAGCGAACTTAAAACACATTCACCCGTATTTTGCTTGGAGACATATTAGAAGTCAAAGAAGTGGAAATCTATGATACTAATTAAAAAGAAGATTTAGGATAGTTCTGAAATGTATTCCTGGCTCCCTCACCCACCAGTTTCTGATATTGTAAAAGCTTTAAGAGAAGAAGTCAGGTTTTTCTCCAGACATGACTCTACAAAGAGCCTCATTTAGTCGCACTCCTCAGCGCTTGGCAAAGGCAGAGGGAAGGTGAGGGAGACGTGGCGCGGAGCCTCCCAGGCCTGGCACAGACCCAGTGCCGAGGAAGGGAAGGTGCTAAGCTATCTTTGTTCTGTTTTAAGAATGCCTGCCAATTACTTGAACCAAGGTCCCTATTCCGCTCCTGTTAATTAGGCTGACATCGCGGAATTTACTAGAAGAAAAGCAGTCTGGAAATTAGCTCTCCTGTCTCGATGGCTTCTGTGTCAGCACGTGACCCAATGGTTGCCATGGTGACTATCAGTCGCAAGTAGATTGTCCACAAGTTGAACTTGCATCTGACAAGTCAAATTTGTCAGTTTGGGGAAAAGTAAAAGAAGATTACTTCCCCCCCCCCCAAGAGAGTCCCTTGGCTTTCAGACCTGCTGCTCCCCGCTTTCCAAAAGTCAGGTAGGCTTCCTCTGCCCTACCGTCTTGGGGG